TACGGATCTGCATGTTAGTAGCGAATACGCTCTAAAAGTGTTTATGGGGGTAGATTGCTCTCTTATCACATTCTCAGCTAAAAACCCCTCCAGAAAATTCCATATGGCGCATATCCGCAACGCACGCATTAATTCGATGCCTATGAGAATGCTGCTTTTGCTGTCTGAGATGCGAAAGCACCAACGCAAACGTGGCCAAGGATGACGTCATCCAAGCTCCTTTCCATTTGATTGTACCGTGCATGTTTCTTTCACCTCAGGTCCAGCACCTCCAGAGACTCAAATGCCCCTTCCTGCAGGCGCCCCAGGCTCCGGAGGCCATTGGCAGACAGAGCCAGCTTCCTGAGGGACACGAGGCCACACAGCTGTCCCATCTCCTTGATGCGGTTGTCGCTCAGGCTGACGTCCCTCAAATTGACAAAGAACGGCAGGTCGGCCTCCTCAACTTCCTCAATGTCCAGTCCCTCCACCTCAACCGTGTGCACGTCCTCTGGCATGACCTCATGGGCAGCTCCCACGAGCATGAAGCCTGTACACACCGGCCCTGATTCAGTGCAGTTCTGCGTTCATTAGATCGTGTTTGTTCTGGCAAACGCACAGCTGCGGGGAGGCGATTCGTTCTCTACGAGTTGGGAGCAACAGTGCACCCAAATGTGCCAGGTCCCATCGACTCTCTGGAAGAAGCATGCATGAAGGCGAAATCGACTCCCTTGCGAATTTACGTGCGATCATGTGCATTGGCAAGTTGCGGAGAGGGTCGCACTTTTCGCTCGTCCGCTCCCGACGTGCAACTGCTAATCCTTAGGCCGTCCGGGTGCGATGCTGTATTGCTCGCCGCTTGTGAATCATCTATTCCCATCGCAGCGTCAGCGCTAATTTTCCACTTGATACACGACATTCACGAGCTCATCAGCTAGATAGCATGATTGAGCTCCAGCTGAATCGCAGGGCAGAAGGGACGGGTGGGCAACGCTACAAAAGGATCACTTACAGATACTTGATTACCATCCAATTTCGGTGGCACGGGTGGTGGATCCGGTGCCGCAGGGACGGGTAGACGGCACCGGGCATTCCCATCCTCCGACCCTTTCCGCCTGCTCCTGCTGCTTCGAAAACTCTGGCTGGAAGCCACGTGGGGGACATCTGGAACGAGGGTCTGAACGGCCACGCCGTTTCGGGACCTGCAGACACGAATCACAAGCACAAGGAATCGCCACCGGGAAGGGACGAGTCGGTTCAAGCGCATGCACAGTGGACACCCTTGATGCATATACGTGACAAACACAGCATTCTCTGCAGGGAAGTACCAAAACCAGTTCAGGAAATGAAAGTTATTTACTGGAAACGAAGGGCAGAAAATAGCTCTGAATAAAATGGGGTACTGGTGCGGGTGGATTAGGATTGATTAGACTGGCTAGAGATTTAAATCCTGTACAATTACTCTGCTGAGGGAAAGGGACTAGCCCGGAGAAAGGACTTCCGCGGGCCTTCAGAAACGTTGGACTGTCTATTGTGGTATACGCAAAGGGTGGCTGCTGTCAAGTAGAGAACGTGAAATGCACAAAAGTGTGTGACGAATCCTTGATTTCGGTCATCGTGACAGTGGATGATCATATGAGCATATGCTATACGTTGGCTTTTCGGGGTGAGGAAACGCACTTTGCGATGCCCAAGCATGCATCCGTGCAATTTCATACCAGCCACAATTGCTTTCAAATGATCTCGCTCGCAACAACTAAGGGACAGCCATTGCCTATGAGCAATGCTGCGGTCGCAACGCCGCCCAGCTATCGCCAAGATAAAATGCAATTACATTACCTATGAATGTCCTTGTGCTTGCTCCAAATGCTTATTCTAAATGAACAGAAACGTGCGGGTTTCAATGCCACGTACGGATATTTTGCACCACAGAGGCAGGGAAGAACAAGGAACGCACTCTTTCTTTGTTTGCCATTTTATTCCATTTGGATTGTTATGGATGATTGTTTCAATAATCTGCTGAAATTATCCGTATTACTTGTAAAGCGACTTTGCTGCGCAATTCAGTATGTGTTCTTGCTGATGCCGCGTCGATAGAATCACCTTTGGCAGTTGGGCCCCCGAACGCGTGCAAGCAATGACTACACGAAGTGATGAGGCAGCCTCATGTGTGCCTTTGTTGTACACCTTCAATGGGAACGGGAACAGTGCTGATTGGAAACGCTGTCCTTCGCAGTGGAAAGCTCCATGCACCGCAAGGCACGTTGCAAGGAAGTTTTCCTTCATGCCTTCGGACAAAGAAATGACCACAGAATCGCTCGATGTGTCCTTCAGCGCTGGTCGTTCATATTCACATCCGCGAAAAGCGTTATACACAATACAAGCAGCCGGGTAGCATCATGGCGCACCGGAATCGCAAAATATCAACCTGGGGCATCAGCGGGTGCTTGTCCGCCATGAAGCCCTCCACCATGTTGGCCACGGAGTCGCTGAACCCCCGGTAGAGGTACCCGGCCCCCGCCCCCACGCCTCCTCCCTCTGCCCCCTGACCCCCGCAACCTCCTCCCGACGCTTCCCCCCCTGTCGGGGGCAACGTTGCGGCCGCCATGCCTGGAGGCAGGGGCAATACCCCGGAGCCTCTGCAGCACTGTCAGTGGTCGAGAGCACCCTGGGGGTGACAGGAGCTCTGATGCCCCGCGCGTTGTGCTTCGCCCGGTGAAGATTCACTTTGAGGAAGAGGAAGTCGCATATTTTTGGGCTCTGCGCCACCGCCTGTGGGACGGGGCCGCGTGGGGCCTTGACCTTTAGACGACTCCGTATGGAATGGGTTTGTCTTTTTTCCCAGGAGGCTGCGGTCTGGATGCACTGTCGTGCATATCGGTGGGTAAACGTCAGCGCAGTTGGAAAACCGTAGGCGCCCATTTGCTGCCGCCATCAGAACTGTCTGCGCTTTGCCATATCGATGGCGACGGCGTAATTTTCTTTCACCAATAAGGAAATCAAATTCTATTGTGAGTCATTCTTGAATTGTTGTTTGTTCAACGCACCAGGTTTTTTGTTTGCGATATGAAGTGAAGGGTGCTGATAGATATTATTTTAGGGAGACACCCACTTGCTCCCTGCCCATGATGAACAGCCAACGTCAACGATTCTGTCCACTCCCCAACATATTGCAGCAATGGTATCCGGCATCCTTAAAGTACCTTATTCTTTAAAGCATTTTCGGCGAGCGTGCATTCGAAGGAATGCACCTGCAAGATCGCGGCAAGGGACACAAGCAACCCCTCACCTGACATTGCGACAACGGAAATTTCACGACTTTTTTTGCACGCCGCAGCATTTGCACGTGCAGCCTTCGCATCTGTGTGCATTGTCTCAGGCACAGCGATGAAGCAGAATGCGCGTCTCCCGCGCTGAACGGTATCGACGGTTTGGCCCCAAGCGGCTCAAAAGCTTGTCACGGAGTCGACAAGCTTGGTGCTGTTATTGTCCAATCCGGACGTCGTGGACTCCGCAGCGAAGTCGCGGAAAAGAAGTCCTCAGAAACTGACCGCAATGTCGACAACAATGCCATGTGGTAAAATAGCACCATGTTGTATAACTGGAACCGTAACACGTATAACCGTAGACGGTGCCACAGAAAGGGAGACCTGCTACAGAAGCCCACAGAACGGGACATGCGCCCATCATCCGAGGAGGAGGCCGCCACCGGGCCAGGCAGGGGCTTCAGATTTGCAGTGGCAGATGCAGCTTCAGGCTGTGTGGATGTTCAGGCATGGGAGCCTATAACACACGTTGGGTGTGACGCACAATTGCAGCAATCCTACATTACGAACTGCTTGTTACGTCAAACAGGGCCTAGTTGCAGAAAGACCTAAGCTCGAGACCACGGCCAGACCAAAGAGCCCGTCGCCCTGCCCCATAACGATAGGTTAGGATCCGGCTGAGGGACGAGTGATGAGCCCTATTTGCGCGCTTATATTATCGTATATGAGAATACACTAGAATTTACTCGAGCGGCAGGAGGCGGCATTGCGAGCCATGGAGCTCCAACACTGATCGAGCCACGAAAAGTCGGGAGGGGTTTCGAGGATTTAACTTGGACATTGCGCATGCACTACATTTCAAAAGAAAGAACGACGGTTCATTTGCCCTGATAGCGCGATGTATTCTTCCTGGGGTTGTTTTCCCAACAACACGCAGACCCCACTCTTCCATGCACTTTTCAAGCACTGCGCAGTCGCACACAGACATCCATAACGTTCGCCAGGGCGTATGCCATCGTTCAGTGTGCAGCAGCAGCAAGATTGCCATGAATGTGCGGTGCCACAAAAATGGGTCAAGCATTGAACCAGCACAACTGCCCCAACAGCGCTGAGCCAGCAAATGAGCATAAACCATTCTTTTGGCGGAAGGCAGCAATAGCCAACAAAGGCAGAAGATGCCTGATGCTGGTGGAAGGACAATCACTCTGCACTAGCCCAGAAGTGGTGCCTGCCACGTTGGCGATCAGAATCAGATGAACAACACCTGGCTTTACATGAGATAAGCGACACGCACCTGTCGTTACCTATACGTTCACAGTCCTCCCGCGTGTTAAAAAGAACAAAAAGCCCAAGCCCCGAGCACACGCGTCCAGACAGACATAGAAGAGCCCGACTTCCCAAAAAAGGACCGTCCCTACCAAGTTTCTGTCAATCCGGTTCCGAATCTGCACCCCACTCCTCAGATCTGCGAATGGCACCATTCCACAGGGCTGCAGCCTGCAGAATCATCAACTCGCATGGCGCCAACAAAAATCCAACTGCACGCCTGCTTCGGCTGTCCTGCATGGGATGTGCATTCAGCCGTCACACGACCCCGTGAGCTCTTTAATGGCTCTCCCATCTGCACCCCCCGCATGACACCCCCATTATTCGCCCCCCTGCCCTTCCCTCTGCCCCACCCCTGGGTGTAGTGGAATCAAAGCTCACTCCTTCAACTCAGCTTCGATGCACAGAGGCTTCCTGCCACAGCCACCCTCACACAGCCCCCTCTGCAGTCACGGTTCTTCCCTCCTGTGCTGCTTCCAGCCCTCTGGCCTCTGCATTTTCGGTGGTGTCTGCACAAGGCGCCTGCGACCCATCTTCAGTGGGCATGGGCGCATCTGTATTGGGCAGCTTGGCAGCCAAGGGAAGCGAGGCAGGGATGACAGGGGACACAACGACTTCGGCAGGGTTGAGCACTTGCTGCTGCCCAGCAGGGGGCTGCAGCGGGGTGGGCGCTGCAACGCCGCTGTGATCTGCGGTCACCGACGGGTCCACTCCAGCCAACGAGGGCGACTGGAACATGGGTGTCGTCATCAGCGGTGTTCCTGCCACTTGCAGCCCTGAGGATGCTGCTGACGTCCGACCCTGTTGCGACTTGGGATCCCAGGTGCAGATCACCAGCTGTGCACAATACCCACCAAAACTATCAGCAGGAAGCAAAAGACGTGCACAATCGGAATGGATAGATAGCAAAGGCCAACGGCACAAGTGCCAATCCATCTCATGTGGAAGGCGCAACAATCTGCAGGGCCTGGGCGCTGGACAAATGTGCAAAGATGGGAGAGTGGGGCAGTAGGGAAGGCAGTGTATAATTCATAGCACTGAATCCTCACAGTTACGACTCCGTTCGCTTTCAGCACTCCAGCAACGGTGCCTCCAACGACCCCCCCTGTAGGATTAGCAAGCGATGCACTCAGGAAGGTCTTTGGCTCCCCTGTAGCCTCCTCATTGACCTCCTCCAGGATGGCTCCGGAGATGGACAGCACAGTGAACTGGCCCTGTTGCACAAAATGGCCAGACCTAAATTCGCACAGCTCAGAAATGGACAGAAAACAAGCAGGTTGGGACAGAACATCAAGAATGCACACACTGGCCTAGATAGCTCTAAAAGTGCATGGCCATGGTTTGCCCAGCTGACACCTTTCATCCACACAGCCAGCCACCAAGCTCAGAGTGCATCATGTGTTTCCTTAGCTGCCACGGTGTAGCTCAAGGTGCAAAAGCAACACATCTGTGCCTGTCATACTAACCATCATTCTGTGCCTTGAAGGGCCAACTGAAGGGGCTCAATTCAGCAGGTGTCGTTTCTGTACCAGGCCAGAAAAGAGGCTACGGTTGGTTGAACCATGCTTTGTTGCACAAAATACACCAGGATGCTTCCGATCGAATCGTGCCCCAGCTTACCCTCAGAGTGACTCCCACTCCCTGCCCGCCTTGGCCAACCTGCATCAAGGTTGCAGTGGATAAGGACCCACACGCTGCCAGTATGCACACAGATTTCTTGTGTGCGGCAGCAAATGCCTTCAGCTTCTCCACCACATCCTGACGACACCACCACAGAAACCGATTGTTATGTGCTTGACAACAGGAGATCAAAAGGCTGCCCTCAGTTGGCGCCATTTGCAGCTTTTGTACACCCACTGGCTACCACGCTGTTGGAAGTACGAAAAGGTCGTGTGAGGACCATGCAAAGCATTCCTGGGGCAGCAAATAATGCAAAAGGCAGGCAGGCCTGAATCGAGCAAGTGGAGTGAAACAACATGGAATTGGCCACCGTCTCTGCACTTATTCCCAAGACTGTTGCCAATGACAGGCGATGTCAAAGCAGAACTTCATGCCACCATGAGATGCATGCGCACCTCTCCAGAGTTGATAGTCATGATCTGTGTGAATGTCCCTGAGCCAGTCTTGTTCTTGGTACCCGGGGGCCTGCCCCTTCGCTTCGGTTGCTGTGGCTGCTCTCCAGCAGCGCCCTGCTGCTGCTGCTGCACAAAATGAAGCGATTCACATTCCAGCAGGCACGCGGTGGGGAGAATATAGGTGGTTGGGCGATGTTTTGGAGCCATTTACCTTGCATTCTTCTCAAAAGTTGGGACATGGTCCGGGATTTTCGTGATCCACGGCGCACAGATACGACGCACAGCCACAAAGGCTGCCCACAGGGCTCACTGATCAGAAATGGGAGCAGGTGTTATCAGACCAATCGCCACAACCGCCAGCCCAGAGGCACCTTCATAGCACCTGCACGGTCGCTGTTGACGCCACAGAGTTGGGCGGCGCGGTTGCGGCCACAAACGCAAAAGACACCGCCCAGCCGCGCCCGTCCGTGAAACTCAACGGATGGCCACGGGCGGCTCCCATCGGTCCGCATTTCGAAACCGCCTCTCGCGCCAAAAGGAAGACAGACGGTTGGCCCTGCCTCTCCGGCCACCGTTCCGCAATTGCGATCGTCGACATCGCCGTGGGGTGCCCTGCTCGGCGCCGGGACCCCGGCGCCAGGGGGGCTCGCGTGGCGATCTTTCCGCGTCTCGGCGACAGAATTCCGCCGGCCGCGAATCGCAGCCCCGGCCGCTGGCCACTCCGAGGTCGAGCCTCCCGGACGCCTACCGCACTTCTGCATCCTCCCGCGAGGCGCGAAGGCGGGCGGGCGCGTGGGGGCCGAGGCCGCAACCGTCGCCCCGTCGTTCTGCGCACCCGCGCAGGCCCGCGTCGCCCCCCCTTCCAGCGGATGCCACGCGGCGCTCTAGCTCTCCAGAAACGGCCATGCTGGCGCGGAGCGCCCCCCGGCCCCCCTCGCCCCCCCAGCGGCGTCTGCGACAGCGAGATCACCCGAAAGCCCCTGACACGCCCGGATGGGCCCCCGACGAGCCATGATCAAAATCTCGACCCGCGCAAAAAGGCCCCTTCAGCCTCCGCCGATCATACCCCCCACCCCCCCGGGCCCCTCCCGCACTCCGGCCCCCCGCCCTGCGCCCGCCCGCCCCGCACGATTCCCGCCCAGATTCTGTCACAGGCCTTTCCTCCCCACCCCGTCGCGCATCCCGCCATCGCGCATCGCCACCGAAGGCCGCCGCTCCAAACCGGCCAAATCCCCGCCCCTCCCGATTCCGCCCCCCACCTGCTGATCCTTCCTGGGCGGCCGCCCGCGCCTGCGCTTGGGCGGCGGCTCTTCGGGCGCCGGGCCCGGGGCGTAGGATGCGGGGCTGTGCAGCCCGTTGGCGGGCCCGCCCGCCGCATCCATCTGCTCCGCGACGACGGCGGTCATCGGAAAGCTGCTCGGGATGGCCGCCGGCACCTCGCTGCCCGCGCCGTCCATGGCAGGCCGGGGCAAAGGTGGGTGGCCCGGGGAGGGGGGTGGGTGCGCCGGCTTGGCGGAAGCTGGCCTGGGCGCTGCGCGCAAGCGCAGGGAAATAAATATACAGGGGGGCGAGGATCGCTGGTGATCGTGAGAGAAAAAAATGTGCGCGCAAAACACACCAACGGCCGCTCGTGTTGGGGATTTGGGCCACAATTTGGAGGCGGGCGGGGGGCTGACGCGTGGCGGCGGCCGGGCGGCCGGAGTACTTTGCAGATTGCGAGAAAAATCTGGTGGCCGTGGTGGTGGGAGCCGGGCCGGCAACGAGAAAGGGCGGCCCGGCGGCCTGGGCGGCCCGTCGCGGGGCCGTGGGCGCGAGATTTCGAAAGGGCGCACCGCGCGGTGTGACCGCGGGAAGGGTGCCCCCCGTGCAGCGAGGGAAGGCGCAACTCAAAGGCGTCGTGGGAACCCTTCTTTTGGCATTCCCTTGGACCGTCGGTTGCCGAGAGCGACGAGCGCCTCGCGGTCGCGCCGGAACGCGAAAGCGCTGGCCCGGCGGTCGCGGTGGGCGAATGCTGCCCGTGCTGGCGCGCGGCTGGACGGGTGAATGGGGTGCCGCTGGCTGTTTGCGCGGCGGGCGAGGGAGCGTGGGATGGGTTGGAGCGCGCCTGACAGAGTTGGGGGAGGGGATGTCGTGTCGGCGGCGCCTGCCTTCATGTGTTGGGAAGTGGGGATATTGGCTGAGCGCCTGTTTTGCCGCGTGTTCAGTGGGTGCGTTTTCGACAGCCAAGGGCGCCTCACCCGAACAAGCGACTGCGTTTTGGAGACCGTAACACATCAAGTCCATGTGCTGGTGACGAACTGGGCGGATCACTATCAACCATTCCATAATGCAGAAAGGGGAAAGGGGAGATTTAAGGAGGCTGCCACGTTGGTTAAAGAGCCACAAGGAGCCACCAGGCCTGCTTGTGGAAGGGGAGTGAAGGAGCACCTTTGCTCCTGGCCTTCGTGCTTCAGCCCATCCCCGGGAAACAAGCAAGAGGAAGGCCTTCAAGCGAAGTCGCGAACAGGATACTTAAATATGGTACACAAATGTGTGCAAATGTGACAACGAAAGATGCTGCTGGGTTTGCATTGGAGCCTAGTGTTAATTTTTGCTTTATGGCGCTCAGTGAGTTCGTGTGATACAGATGATCCAACTAGGAGAGCAGGCCAATCCTCATCCACTATCTGAGCACCAAAGCCATATTTCCTTAACACAAGAGGCATGTGCCACGGTGGACAAAACAGGCTGCTCAGTAGTGCCTTCCAACCCTGCAAAGCCAGCAGGCATGACAAAATCGAGCTGTGCAATTCAAGGCGAAGAGGAACTGGAGGGATTGTACAGCCCGTACACAAATATGTGCCGGGGCAGGTACTGCAGTTTGCGGTCATAAAAGAAGCCTGACATAGTAGGCTATCTGGATGCTTTGACATATTCAAACCTTCACAGTCTGTCACCAGACGTCCAGGCTGGCTGCAGACACACTGCCCAAGTGCTCATGTGCCCAGATGGCCAAAGTGGAGCCAATATGTGTCGTGTGTGTTGGATTCCAGAACATAACAGCACATTTGATCCATGCGAGGGCATATGTCACGCCAAACAAAGCAGAACCTTTGCTTTGAAGTTGGCAATGACAAGGCCGCATGAGCAAGAAGATAGGAATGCACATGTACAACGTCACCTGACTCGGGTTGTGTGGCGGCTGGCAGAATGCACAATTGCTCTTGTGCCAGGTGCCAGTGTTGAGGGTATGTTTGAAAGATACCTCCCCCGTAGTACCCCCCTCTTGCAGGGACGTCGGTTTCAATTTGCACACGAAAATACATAAACGTGTGGCAGTGGGCACAAATCGTAGATGTATTCGAGGGACTCAGGAACCCAGGGACTCATCAAGCCAATTGTTATGCAAGATTCAGAAGTGGATGGTGGCGAAATTTCCCTGTTGAGTGGCGTGATGATTCTCGGAAGCTTTCATCGTCAGTTTTCAACCCTCACTCGTCACTTTCCTTGCGATTCTGGGCTTCATAACATGTTGCCCCTGTACTCGCTGCTATGTGTCATGCAAAGGCATTGCGTGCTGGGACAATCACATTGTTGCAACATGGGCTGCTCCACAGTCAGGGCAGTTCTTGCCAGGTGTGGCGTGCCTTTGGCAGGCCAGCATTCAGCCAGCCTGACAGGCTCCACACGTTCCGGCTGATGGCCATGACACATGTCTTCTGTGTAAACCCAATCCAGCTTACAACAAATTGTGTGCACGTGTTCTATGCAAACCCAATCCAGTTCACAACAAATTGTGTGCACGTGTCCAAGGTTTACCAAACTCGCAGGCCCTGCATCCCCGCCCCTCTCCACCCCCTTGATGCTCAATGGCCACTTTCCAGAACGACCGCAATGTTCCACTCCACTCATGTCACGTGTTTCTTCAGCTGCACAGGAGGACTTCCGGTTCACTCCAACAGAACAAAAAGTCCGATGTACACATGTCCCTTGTCTTCCTTGTCCACTTGTCTCTTGCCTGCGTCCCTGGTCTTCCACATTCTCGTTCCCCGCTGCCGCCACCAACGACTGCCACTGCTACCGACGACCGTTTGAAGCGAGCTGGTATTTTCCCAACTCCCTTTCCTTCCAACACAACAATTGATTGATTGGTTGATCAATTGAACGACTGCACTCCCAAGGGAGCAGCATCACTGCTGCATGGCCCGCAGCGCATCCCCCTCCCTGAGCTCCGTCATCCACACCACTGGGCCATCGACCTCCACCAGTACCTCCTCTCCTTTCAACTGATTGGACGTGCTGATGAGCCCCTGAAAATCCAGCTGCGTGCCCTCCAGTTCCCACTTGAGCCCCTTGGACGTCCCGACGACGGACCCGTTGAGGGGCACCAGTGCGCACTGGGGCCCTTCCACCCGGCGGTCCACATGGATGCAACTGGTGCCTGCAGGCACCAGCCGCGCGAGGTTGCCCTCTCCTAGCAGGACCAGCGGCAGGTGCGGGAAAAGATGGAGAGTGTGCAGGCTGGACAGGGTGTGGTCCAGACGGCCGCCAAGAGCGCCTGAGGCCAGGAGACACAGTTGGTGTTGCTGCCGCTGCTTTGCATATTTAAGATGTCAGGTACTGCCCTTATCCAAACATGGTGTGTTCGTTGCCACTGACGTTGCCTACCAATTTTGAAGGAGTTTGAAAGGCAGATGTGATTGCTGTCCACATTCCTTGCTGGCAAACCTCTAATGTTTTCATCACTTCCAACATTTCTATCCAATCGATGGGGTTGAAATTGTCAACATTACGCCGATGACAATGAACGGCACACATTGTTAGTGGGTTTCCCTGCCTCACACCCTGGCACTGCGGCTGTTGCTGGGTGCTTATGGGGCCATGAAATTAGTGCCGCAAGATCTCCGCTGAATATGGTAAGCCTCCAACCCTTGATTTGCAATCGTAATTTCCCAATTAATTGGAAATGGTGTCGCCGCAGTTGGTGCTCTTGCTTGAGCATCCTAACCAGTGCCACAAGTTCGCCAACAGCCAGACATTCCCAGCTTGATCAAAGAGCATTCCTTGCCACGTTCTGAAGAATCCGCAAGCAATGGGCTTGGGCCCTCAGGAAGACCGTTTACTTGCACAATGTGTGAGGTACCAGGACATAACACGTTACCAGTCAAGTGCATGCTTGGAACAAGAGAGAGGCACATGATCCCACTGTGTTGGCCTTGCATTCATGCAGACTTGCAATGCTTTTTGAATGCCCCACTGGCAAGGCTGTCAGTGCAGAGCATGTTTGCTTGCATCAGCATTGAAACATTGTTTGTTCAAGTAGTAAAACACAACAAACAGCCATCAGGCCATCAACAATATGGCAATGAGGTTTGACTATTCATGAACGTCAGTTCGTCATCAATCCACAGATTGCCATCTGTGGCAACTTCTCTCTTAGGTGGGCCTAGCTACCCAACATGGAGTCGGCCGGCCACTGCACAAACACCAACGCCACCTTGAGGTGTCTCTGATCGTAGAACGAAATGGCTAGCTTTCTGACGTTGATGATCTGCCCAAGATTTGCTTCTGCACATATTCTATCTGTGCACTGATACGAAAGCTGCTTGACAATCTGCTGGTGACTGCACAGAAAATCGACAAACAGCACGTCTGTATTGAACCTGGATAGGCAGCACCACACTCGACCAAACACACCTGCAACAACAATGATGACATCATCCTGCTTCCCTCTATCCTGCAGTTTCGCTTCCATGTAGTTCACAGATTTCATGAAGTCTGTCGTGTCCTGATCTGCTGACAGATCATCCACTTGGACTCCCTTTGCCTCGTAAAATTGTCGGACATCGTCCCTCAGAGAATCCAGGTCACCACGGATGACGTCTGGCAGCAGCTCGTTTCGCAGTATATGTGCAGTGTCCGCTGACTCGTTTCTGCACACTTTGGGGATGGCATCAAACCATCTATTTGCGCCCCCATCAGCGCAGACACGGAGACTGGCTTCAACAGTACAAAGTCTGCATTAGGTGGCAGCTATTATGCACAAAGAGGACACATCTGGTTTGGCATTAATTAGTTCCAAGCTACGTTTCTTGCAACACTTGAATGCTCTCAAAATTCGCAGCCCATACTTGATTGTGTGCACACATGATGGCCTCGCTGCAGCTTTGCGCAAAGCAGGTGTTGCTGCATTTGTCCAACTTATGCCAAAAGTGCTCCCCAAAGCAGTTGCTATTCCCAAGGTTGCCAACTTTTCTCTTCCATGTGACCAATTGCCTGTTAAGAACCGCCCACGAAAATCCAATCGTTCCCACCACTTACTGAAGCCCTGCCAGTTTCAACGAGAAGTTTTGTTCATTCATGTTGCGAGTGACGTACACACAAAACATTGTTGACAGTGGCTCACTGCAGGACGTCGGGCCTATGCACTGCCATACCATCCAACAGGGCAGAAGACCGCAGCGGTTCGAGAGGCGCAGAAATCATGTATCGCCGTTGACGACCGGAATTTAACCTCAGCATCCCATTCCAAGCAGAACGGCAACAGCGCTGGTGGAACGTCCTTGTACGGTGGCAAGAAAGTATGGGCTACCTAGATATGCGTACAAGGGCCCTGAGCCGACGACAATGTGTGATGTGGATGGAGTTACGCGCGTCATTGGCGCGTGTGTGCAAGGGCAGTGGTCTGCCAATATCTCGCAAGATGCGTTCCGATGGACTTGAAGCCGGACGCGAGCCCACCCGTGGCCTCGAAACATCAGCAACGTGTACAGAACTCAACGTGCGAAGGCCGTGTGTCGCATGGGCTCCCGCACCTCGTTGCCACAGCTCCAAAATGAAGCACGGCAGGTCGAAGTTCAGCAGGATCAGCCACACTTGGGTGTCCGCATCGACCACGGGATTGAAAAACTTCGTGGCGAGATCTCTGTCGACGCTGGCGGACGAGAGGGGCATGGATGGCGCCTTGCAGCCTTTTTGGAACGACTCGCCACTCGGCGGGAGGGACCCGATGTTGGGGCCAGATAATCCCCAGACGCCCCCCTTCCCGTCGATGCCGGTCCTTGCGCGCGACCACAGAGAGGGCAGGCAGCGGCAGAGAAACGGTGCAGAAGCTCGGCTTCGCAACATGCACGCCCGGCTGGCGAGGCTGCCGCCACTGTGCCGGCAACTGGGTCACCGACGAGACTCCACTCGCGACTATTGCGTCTGTTTGCGTTGCAGACCATTCAGCCACCGACCTGTGCAAATGCACACACGACAGATCACCGGAAGGTAACAACATGACCCACCTTCCATCCATCGACTGATGACACATCGCCGGTACACCATTGGGGGTGCCCGTTGTGCATATTGGGCCGTTGGGCAGGCCGAGCGGCGTCGCGCAGTGTTGCTTCGGGGCGAGCACACGCGGCGTGCCCGGGGGTCGCTTGGCCAGGCTGGACGCCGCATGTTGTTCGCCAGCCGCCAGACCAAGGCTGGCCGGTCGCCGACGGTTGCAGGGCCCCCGCCCTCAGGGAATTTTGCCGCAACCAGGATTGCACCAAGCAATCAGGTGCACGATCACAAGCGAAGAAGCGGCAGGGGCTGCGCTTTGCCCCATTTGGCCGATTCATGGACGCTCATTGAGAGCATCGCTATGAGCTGCAAGGCCAACAGAACGCGACTCAACGGCAGCCCATGTGCCCAAAGGCATGGGAAATGGAACTGACGCCCTACACCAGATGCAGCACACAATTACGGATTTGGAGAAAGAATTAGGGCATCTGTTATCTTGTAGGGGCGACATTCCACTTGAGCATTGTGTCCATGCGGCAGGTGTGGTTGTTTCAAGCGGCATTGGTACATGATGAGTGGTGGCTGATTTTGACGTTCGTGCAATGGGCAGGCTCGCTTGCCCGAGTGGTGCTGGAGGTGTGCGGTGAATCCGGGCCAGGGCCTCTGGGTCCGAGGCTCGCGGTGCCAGTCTACCACTGGCGATGTAGGACCAGGAGCTGCCCTTTTGCAGACTGCTGTAGATGCTGAGAGTAATATTCCAGATGGTCGTGGTGGGTGCATGACAGACTGCCGGAGGTATCTTGGCCTGCCCAAGCTCAAACCTGAATTGTTGGCTTGAGCAATAGGAATGGGCCTAAGCAGCTCAAATTTCTACAATTTCTGTCGTTGCGGCCGCTGGGAAGCAAGTGTGCATTGGCCAACGAATCTCAGAAATCCAAAAATCGTGAAGTAGGTATCACACCCCTGACAAATTGTGTAGAGCTTGAATGACATTGTGAAGAAAGGAATCGCGATTCTCGAAGTGCATCAAGAGAATCATGCGAAAGTTGACTGGCAAATGGCACTGGCTACCATGCCTGCCGCACATGAATCATGAATTGCCCCATGGTGCCCATGCTCCTGTGTGCGAATTGATGTGCTGACTTTAGCTGTTGCCCTGGAGTGGTCCATAAGCCAGATGTGCCAGATATGCCATTGGGATGCAGTTGCTGAATTTTAAACCCTTGCATCCCAGAATATGCCAATGTTGATGTACCCCAGATTGCATTGAAGCTGAGCAATTCGCCCAACTGGTTCTTAGCAGTTCACAGGTGATTAGTGTTCTTGATGCTGAGAGACTGCTTTTCCAACGTGGCCTCCTGGTCGCTGCAGTGTGCAGAATGCAGGAGAGCCAGTGCTGTGCTGTAATTTGCTGTATTTGGGTCTGCAATTTGTATTCAAAGTGCAGACAATTGCAATATCAAAAGAGGGGTGTGTGGTAGTGGTTGCGCTGCAATTGCGCTTGGCTGCTTTGCTGCCAGTCTTTTATGTTGGGCATCTGCTGGCCTTCTAAAGAGAGCCTATTCTGGTTGTGAACCGGTTGCCCTTGCATCTGCACAGACACAGCCACCATAATAAAGGAGCTTGCTGATAGGCTGGAAAGATGTGTCCTTGCGGAACAACATCATGCCGAGGAAGCAATGCGCAAGCTGTACCAACACAAACAGTTGAAAAGCCTCCAGGACAAGGGAGTTGCACTGGCAAATGTTCAACTCGAGTTTGAAGGACTGTTGTATACCAGCTTTGTGTACAGGTGCGATATCTGATTCTGCTATGGCTGGGGTGGCCATAATCAGTCCATGGGTGTGCTATTGATGAGAACTGCCTTGGAACTTGGTACCGCGGCATGTGAATGTGCACCAGGGATTCTTGTATTGAATGGACACCGCCACTACCTCGTCTTTCACAGTAGCACATGGCACTTTCCAGTTCTCACTTGTGAAATGCAAATCTTTTGTGCGTTCATGATTCGTCTTCATTTTGAAAATACAGGTTGAGCGTGACTGTTGCCCAGTGACAAAGTGGTGCCCATTCACATGAACCTACGACAAAGCAGAACACAGTGAATGAGAATAGCGTTCTTCACGATTTCTTCGCCTGCCACCCTCAAGATCGCACATAAAGTCTGTGTTGGACTTGCTGGTACTACAATACTCGTTGCCCTTTGGATCGCCTACTGTGAATGTCTTCAGAAAGCAATTCTTTGGCAATGGCAGCAAGCAGCATCTCTGTTGGCAGGCATTCGACATTGTTGTTCAACAATCATATGCATCGCACTGCAGCTTGTGGATGCCATGGGCATTGTACTGGGTAAACCTCCCGCTATTTCTATGCTGTCCTTAGAGCAGCTCTGCATTGGAAAATGAGGAGGGTGTCCCTGAGTGTGTGCACAGGACCCCTCAAAATGGCAGGGCTGCCTCTTCTACAGTCTTTGCACAATTTTCTTCATATTTCAGGCCTTGGAGTTGTGTGCTGGAGGAAAACGATCAGAAGTACGGTAGAACGTAGAAATGGTAGAACATCAGCTGGATGGTGAATACAACTCCTGATGTAAGGTTTCAATCAAACGGTGAACTTGTGGTGATTGGTGACATCTGTACAAGCCGTGTCTCTGTTTTGCATGTCTCTGCTCGTCTCTCCTTGCCTCCTCTGTTTCCCTGTGGATGTCTTTTGTGGACTGTGGAGTCTGAATTTGCAGACCTGCATTGTGCATTTGCTTCAGGCTGCACCTGTGCAGCACCGCTGCTAAACTTCCATGGCATCGCTTTGTGGCGCGAGAGGTCGTTGCCCTAAGCCGCATGAGCAACGGACCGGAGAACCTGGAGTTTGAGGATCAACGCATTCAGGCAACGGTCCTTGATGTCAAGAAAAGATGGATTTCGCTGGTGCTGGAAAAGGATGCGGCTCAATGCCTTGATGTAGTCAATTCACCAGGTGAGAGAACATCTCAACTGAACCATGGCCTTTTCTTTGGTGGTAATTGCAGCATTTGCTGACAATGTTCGTATTCTGGGGTGACTTTCAGGTACTTCCAGGTGAGCAGAGATCAGCAAACAAAAACTGTGGATGAAATTATGCCAATGACCACCTTAATGATACAAAGGCGTGCTTTGGTTCATTCTGCCAAGCTTATTGAAGGGATTGGTGCACTTTGCACAGTGGCGAAATTGCTGCCTGGATGTCTTCTGCACTCCTCCAAGCATACACATTTCCTGCCAGCGTCTACGCTTGCAGCAACCCAACTCATGAAAGTGGACCATCTTTGCTTTGCATGACTGCGCAATTGTAACAATTCAATTACAGACGTGCTGTTGCAAGACACGGAAATTTGTGCATATGTGTGGACCATGTTTCGGCTGTGTTGGAATGTGTGTGCTGCACCTCTGAACCATGATGTAAGACACAAGGCGGGTGGCACCAGGAGTAACATGGCGGATGGACAAAACTGCCCAAGACACTACCGCTCGGCGCCAGCTTGAGGCAATCCACAAAATAGGAGGGCTCTCCCACAGGGGCAGGAAATCAGAAGGCGTCATTCAGGCCATGGCCATTGGGCTTCCATGTCCAATCTCTGCCACTCGCATCATAAAACCTGAGTGGGTGCACAGTGAGCAATGGAGGAAAAAGACAGGCATAGAGTTGAAGCAAATGCAATGTTTGAATCAAAGTCAACGGAGGGCCATTGCCCAGACCCTGATCCAGTCCATCACATTGTGGCAAGGCCCACCAGGTAAGGGAGCGTGGCACCCAGGTTTGGAAAGGAACGTGGCATGAAACATTGTCAAGCCTTTTGTTTTTCCATGTGCTGTGCGGATGCCATAAAACTATTGGCGCTAAGTTTACCGGTTCTTGCAAAGGATAGGCCCCTCCCTTGGAATTTCTACCTGGCTTTCATAGTGGGCAGAGTCGTGGTCAGAACACACCATCAGCAAAGAGTGCAGTTGTGTTCTGCAGCTCTCGGCCATGGTCCAAGGCCCATTCAATGTGCATTTTCAGCAGATTATGCAATGGAGGGAAAGTGTTTGTGCCGTACACCTAAATGCCAAAACCGCAATGGCAAAAGCGGTTGTTGCACACCTACCTTCCGCCATTTCCTTCAAATTCTTCAAGGTAGATTTGGATGCCATGCAGTAAGAGCCGGCTTGCCATCATACCAAGATTGGCTGACGCGAAGATTTCGCAGTGATGCTAGATTCGACACGATGTTATTAACGTGCTGTGTACGCGTAGCATTGGTGACTGTGCATTAAATGCCATGCTGCACGTGGAAGAACCCATGTGCTGGTACTGTGCGGGAGCTACTGCACCACAGAAGGCAGATGATGGCCACGCACTTCTCCTGCTCACCTCCGTCGGCGTTTTGGGTCACATGTTGTCTGTAATTCAACTTTACAACGCGGGTGTCCGTCCATTGGCTGGGGAATTATTACCTGCCCTAGTCAATAACGACCATCGATTCTTGTCTGTAATTCAACTTTACAACGCGGGTGTCCGTCCATTGGCTGGGGAATTGTTACCTGCCCTAGTCAATAACGACCGTCGATTCGCTGTCAGTGCAGGACTATTGCCGAAGTTGGGACCTGGCACGCCCCTTAGCTTTGCCGACTGAAAGTATGTCGACCTGCCGATGCTGCCACAGAGCAAAGGAAACAATGGTTTATTTTGCAGCAAGAGCCGATTTAATACCTTTACGCTGATTGGATGTCCAAAAGTTGCCATAAGAATGGCTGAAGCTGGGCAAGGTGACAGAAGCCTTTTGGCTTTCAAGGAAAAGCTGTGCGCAAGTTCCGTTGTTGAGATTGCTCACGCCAGCGTCGTTCATGAAATAGGCTCCGGCAAGACGCATACACTGGTCAGTCTTTTGGACGTCGTCTGCAGGACGTCACGTGACGTCTCAAACGCAGCGGTGGGTCGAATCCTTGCATGTGCCGACACAAACGCCGCTGTGGACAACATTGCGGAGGGATTGCTTGAGAAAGGTGTCCGAGTCGTGAGGGTTGGCCAACCGGCCAGGGTTCGTAGTGGATTGAGGCATGTGACACTGGATGCATTGGCCGAGAGGACTCCACAAGGGCGGTTGTCGATGAGGGTGCGGAGAGAAGCTGTTGAGCTGCAAGCCCTCGCATCGAAGGTAGGAACCCGCTTCCTCTGAGGGAGCTGTGAGCCTTGCCAAAGCCGCATGTATTGGCCCCTGCCACGGTGCTTCCAGCAACAGTTGTGTGGTTGAAGGCGCGCCTTTTCTGTGCTGCGGTTTGACCACAGGAATCCGATGATCAGGAGAAGAGAGCACTAAGAGCCCGCTCCAGCGAGCTGTGGTATGAAGCAAACGAGATGCTGAGCAAAGCTACCGCCTCGGTGCTGGATGCATGTGAGGTATGTCTGCCATGGTGAAATCTTCTGATGACGATACTTGCTGTAGCTTTACTCCAAGTTACTCTACTGAGGCGGTGAAACTATTTTGTATTTGCTGCCTCTGATCCTCACGGAAAACTCTGCTGTGAGGATGTGGATTTGCAGCACCCCAGTCTTGCATCTGTTTCACTGCAGTGCGAAGGGGTCTGCGTCTGTTTGAGTGTTGCTGTTGTTGCTCATTGCGGGTGTGTCAACAAAATGGTGCCATGCCCTGACCCTTGCAAAGTGTGACAATTCGGCTCATGTACAGTATCACATGGATAGTAAGAGTGGATACTTCATGTCAACTTGATCATAACGCCCAAAGTTTCTTTTGATTACAAAATATTACATCTTCAATATGTTTCAACACATTCGGAATAAGTCTACGTATAACAAATCAACGTACAACGGAAATACGTCAACGTATAATAAGTCAACAAGTCAATGGGACAACAAGTCAACGTGCTGGCACCGCGGGAACATTGTTTTCGTGAGGAGGAATTACCAACCACGCGGGAATGCCTTTTGCTGGCATGTAACTTCAATTGTGCCAGCATTTAAATTCTGAAATCCCATATCAGGGCCTGCCTTGTCTGGGCAGTGCCGCTGGTCGCTTTACTCCCTTGAGCGATTGTCCTCTCTTGCCGCTCGCGTGCTTCTTCCTTCCTTGCACAGCTTGGACACCATCTGAGGCAGTGCTGTCAAACCACCGCTTTGGGTAATCAACGGTGGCTTGAAATTCAGGTAATTGCCAGCACCTGCAATGGGGTAGGAGACCCAGCCTTGGCAAATTATCCATGCCGGATGGTTGTTGTGGACGAGGCGACACAAGCCACCGAGCCTGCAACCTTCGTGGCACTTACTCGAGGAGTGGAGTGCCTCGTTATGGCTGGAGATCCGAAGCAACTGCCGCCGACTGTGGTGTCGAAGGAGGCCGTGGCTGACGAGCTGGATGTGACGCTTTTCGATCGACTGCAAGCGCAGGGTGAGCATGCCCCGCTCTGGGGCAGCCACGCCCATGTGTGATGTGATGGCACTCATCCCTGGGCTGAGTTGCTGCCAATCCAGTGAAACGGGATGCAGAATGTGGCTTCTTGCCGAAATTAGGATGCAAGGAAATTTCGCGTTGGGTTCCTCAGCCTGGGCAATCTAGAGTCGCTGATGCTGGTTCCCCAAAAGCCTGTCTGGTGGTGATTCGCAGCGTTTGCGCAAGGGCCTGAGGGATTGCTGGAAGAAACGTGTTCAACTGCGCCTTGGGTAGAATCTGCAAGATGGCACCAGCATTGGTCGTTTCCCGCACTGTTCTGCACGATGTGCCACAGGAATCAGGCATCCTTTCCCTTGGGCAGAGCGGGCCACCGTGCCTATCATGCACAGCATCTAACGATCAGCGTGTGTCTGCGCAATTCACGCGCTGTTGGCCTCCATGCGCGCTGCATGCTGCCATAGCTTCGATGCCAAATCACGGAAATCCCCGTCAGTAATTGTGTTCCGCCTGATCCAGGACTGGAACCCCTTCTGCTGGATACACAGTACCGCATGCACCCAGCCATCAGCGAATTTCCAAGCCACTGGTTCTACGACGGCCGCCTGGCCACCGGCGTCCAGTCGAGCAGCCGGCCGCCGCCTGCCGGTGTTGCCTGGCCCAGGGCCGACGTTCCTGTGCTGCTGGTGACGTGCCGTGGGCGCGAGAGCAAGGCGAGGTCAGAGGACAGCGAGGGCGGGGCGTCGTACAGGAACGCGGAGGAGGCCGAGGTTGCCGTGCGGCTGCTCTCGAACGTGCTGGCGGCAGGTGGGGTGGTAAGATCAACACCGATGTTGATATTGATGTTGCCATTATCATTGCTTATTACCAGCATTTGCGATATTGTCATCAATAGCACACGGGAAGCGCATTGTTAGTGTAGTTGATGCCGTGGCTACTGTTCTCTTCGGAGCAGCAACGCAGCAGTCACTGTGGTTTTGGCCCCACTTTCTCCATCATATCCTGCAGTAGGCATCCCGTGCGGCAAGGCCCAAGACTGGGCCCTGGTGGGGTGCGACTCAAGCCATGCGTCGAAGAGGCCTTGTACGCCGCCTGCAGGTGGCGTGGAAAGCGTGGCAATACTGACGCCCTATCGGGCACAGGCGGCCCACGCGGAACAACTCCTGAACTCGGCAACGCCGCTCATCAACGCAGCGGCCGTCGCTGTGTCGTCGGTGGACGGCTACCAGGGCCGCGAGGCGGACGTCGTCATCTTCAGCGCGGTGAGATCGAACGACAGGGGGGCGATGGGCTTCGTGGCCGACGCCAGGAGGCTCAACGTTGCCATCACGCGCGCCAGGAGGTGGGCGGAACGAGCTGGGACGTCCTTGTGCTATACGTCAGAATTCAATAAACTGATCGTGGGTACTGCTTTGCTTGGGCGAAATAAGAAGCTGGCGGCCACATCCTTCCCTTCTTATGTGAAAATGGATGATGATGAAACCAGTTCAGGAAAATGTCGGTGCTGCTTATGTTGGCGCTGGACCTGTGGCGCATTTGCCCAGGGGGGCGTCGGCGAGTCGACGTGGCTGGAAGTTGTTGAACCGCACAGAAAACGGGCGGCATGGTCATTGTCAGCAAACAATTAGGCATGATAATTATCAGTGAATATGAATGTTATCATGAAGCCATTAACGAAAATTGTCGTCAATGAAGTGATGAGGCATTGCCACGAAAGTGGTGCTCAGCAACCCGCTCTTGGAGCTGTATTCCTACTCATATCGCCTGTGTGCTCTGAATTTTCGACGTGATTCTTGTGGTTCTTGCGTTTTGGTACGAGCGTGGGCATTTGTAAACTTTCCCCTGCTCACAATGAAATTTGGGGGCCACATTAATGTCCTGACCACCTGCACAGTGGAAGTTCACATGATATATGATTTGACTACGCCGGTGCTGGCTCATCGGCGTTATCCCTGAGTGCTGTGGATTGGAACTGCCTAAAGCGCCATGAGGTATCGATTTTTGATGACGCGACGGCGATTCTGCAGGGGGCTAATCGTTGTCGCCAACCCTGCGACGCTTAAACATAGCCCAGATTGGGCCGCATGGATCAGCTGGGTCAGAAGCAAGGGATCGGTTGTGAGGGCATGCGACATTCCACTCGCAACCTGGGAGACCGACGAATGAAGGAATGGATGGTGATGCAACAATTATATCTGGGTTGGGTTCTGTATGGCAGAATATGCACTGCCCCTGGTGCAGATGCTGGTCCTTGGAAGGTCGGCTGAGTGCGGCCCAAACGCACAATTGTTTGCTGCAATGTGCTGATTTTCTGTGCGTTCATTCCCAGGGCTGTAAGCCATTGTTTGAATATTTAATTATGTTTCATTCGGTTTCGGACACAATATCTGAGTAATGATAATGGGGATTATGTCTCGGACATTGAGAAGACCTCTGAGACGTTGTGTAAGAAAGGTCAGAGCTGTTTCTTTCTGTAAGCGTGTGTCCGAATTGCCGTTTTGTGTTTGTGTGTGCAAGAGGTTTCTGTCAAGATGGGCACGAACGAGGGGTCATTTGGGATTAGGAAGCAGGGACAATTCGGACGCTTTGCGGAGAAGAAAGCTCTGGACAGCGGCCTCACGATGACGGGGTGGAAAAGAATAGCAATTACTCACTGTGAACGAACGCTCATTTGCGGCTCGGCACAAGCAGAGCCGCAAAACGTGAACAATCTGGACTTGGTCTGCCCCGCAATCTTTTTAGTGCGCGATGGAGGTGATCTGCGAATGCATTGGCTGTTACCGCTGATTCATCTCGACAAAATGAACAGTCAGATTGCAGACGTCCCAACAATGCAAGGCACAGCATGTTGACATTGTTGCCTTCAAACGCGAAACCTGTCATTGAGATTCTCCGGAAATGCGCAGCCCAGCTTACCTACTGAGGTAAACCGGCGCTTGAAGTGTACTTCATCCACGCCATTTTTCTGTAGCTGCCGAAGAAGAATGCACCAGCATATGTTGCGATTGCAGAGAATATCATGTCTCAAAAGTGCCACTTGTATCCTGGATGATCATTGATGACGCACGGGATGAAAGGAGCTTTCCCTTTATCTTTAGACTGGGAAGCTTTTGTAAATGCTCACCACCGTTGCAGCACCCAATACGAGATAGTCAATGACTCGCAATATCCCTGACAGCTGGAAATCTTATGATGTTTCAAGCGGACTGTGATACATTCTCCCGCCTGACAACATGTCGATGCTGCTGTCTTTCTTGAAGCTGCAGCATTTTTTGCAGTAAGTCTTTGATGGGAAATGACAAAAGGGGTCCTTCGTAGAGATATCTTGACAAAAAGGGATCTTTTGGGACGAAAGGGGTCCTCTGCAGGGGTGCATTTGACAAAAGGGGGTCCTCTGACCGCCACCTGTACATCAGATGCGTTGCCAGCCTGGTGCCAGTCGGTAAGTCGGTCCTACCAGGGGCGAACCCCGCAGAGGGACCCCTTTTGTCATTTTCTTTGTTTAGATCTTTGGCACTTTGGGTTTCGCGGCATTCGACGGATTTTGAGCAGATGGACATCCCACCGCCGTGCTCTTCCCGTGTACGGCACCAATGGAACGGCGGCGCTCCTTCCCGTCCAACGTGGCCCATTGGCAATCCCCGTCCGCTCCACATGTGCTCCGCTCGACCACCACGCCCCCCAAGCCCCCCAAGCCCCCAGCCCCGCCGAGCTGCGCCACAGCGCCCCTCCCGCCCTCCGCCTGTCCCGCAGGTGCTCCAACAGTACCCGCATCTTGCTCACACCCGCCGTTTGAATGCTTCACTCCCTTCTCAGGCGCCATTTGCGGGTGCTGCGTTTGCTGGAGGTGACGCCAGGGAGTTCCTCGCGTTCAACGGGCCCTTTCCCCACGTCGCCGTCCTCCGGGGATCTAGCCTCCAAGTCCACGCTCAGATTCCCTCCCCAGCTCCGATGGCTGAGCGGCATTCCGCCTGCTGGGGACGGCGTGGCCGTCCTGTCCGTGGCGAGGACCCCGATGGGCAGGTTTCAGGGCGGCCTGGCGGAATTCTCGGCGCCGGCGCTAGGCGGGATCGCCATCAGGGAGGCGCTGGCGCGAGGCGGCGTGCGGCCGGAGGAGGTGGAGGAGGTGTTCATGGGCAACGTGCTTGCGGCGGGCGTGGGTCAGGCGCCGGGTCGCCAGGCCGCGCTGGGAGCTGGCCTGCCTGTGAGCGCGCCCTGTACTACCGTGAACAAGGTTAGTTTTCTGTTAGTGGCTGCCTTTTGTGGTATGAGTGCGCTTTAAGACAACGTCTTCTTGCACTTTGGGACAAACGTCTTCGTTTCTTCTGCTCCTGGTCAGGGACTGCCCTGGAAATAGCCACTGGCTGCCTCTTCCGGGTTGTCTTGTGGCAGTCTTCTTGTAATTTTGCTGTGGTCTCCTTTTGAACTTGCCGTAGGACTGACCTGGGTCCCGCTCAGCGTACGGCATGCCTCGGTAGCTCACAGAGACCATGTCGCTTCCTGAGCTCCCATTCTTGGAACATTATGAATGTTTGCTGGCGCTGTTGGCGGATGTTTGCAAGTTTATCGTCCACACGCTATTGTTGACGCTGTCGGCAACGCAATGCATGCGCTGTCGTGGAAAAGACATGTCAGTGCTGGGGCCCGGCTGGTTGGTTGCTACCATTAGCTTTGTTGCACGTCGCTTTTTGGATGAAACGCCGACGGCAGTTTGGCGCATAGTGAATTCGACAGCGGTAAAGCGCGGGGCCAGAATCAAAACGTTTTGATTACGAGTTAACTCGCGAGTAGAAGTAATAGCAGTAACTGCTAAATTAGAGATCCTCTCGGTCCGAAAGTACTGAGCCCTCATGGCTGGAACGAGCATTTGGAGCATGCGCAAGCTCAAGTTCCCACCCCGCGCTAACTGTTGCAGGGGGTCCCAAGCAAAGCTTGATTTGCCGTGTGCAGTTAGTCGCGACACGTTGTGGGTACATATCATTTTGGTACGGTACGGGTGCTGGTACCTGCTATGACTGGTGCAGTGGTCCTTTTGAAAGCGCAAAACCACAGCGAATTTGCGTAGAATTGGTTGTCAACAGGTACCAATATGCCGTCGTGATTCATCCGTGAGTGTCACTCACCGCCCACTGTTGATGGACATTCCCTTGGGGGTTGTTGTTCTCTGGGGCTCCGACATGAAGACAAACACTGTTCCAGTGTGCCTCTCAGAATTGCCGTGCTCCACAGCAGCACAGGCACCGCGAGCTCCGACGTAAAGCCCCGCACAACCGAACTCGGGTGTTCTTGATTGACGGACTAATTGATTGTCGAAGGTGTGCGCGTCGGGCCTTAAGGCCGTTATGCTCGGCTTCGCCAGCATCAAGGCCGGCGTGGCGAGCGTCGTGGTGGCGGGCGGCATGGAGAGCATGTCCAACGTCCCCTACTACCTGCCCGGCGCGCGGGACGCCCTCCGGATGGGCCACCGCACCCTCGTCGATTCTCTGCCGCCGAAAGCCGCGACGACGCCCAAGCCCCTCCTGAGGGATTCCCTCTTCGACACGCTGCCGGACAACCGGCGAACCCTGGTGGACGGCATGATTCAAGACGGCCTTTGGGACCCGCACAATGACGTCCACATGGGCGCGTGCGCGGAGGCCTGCGCCGAGAGGTATGGGATTTCCAGGGAGCAGCAGGACGACATGGCGATTTCCAGCTTCCGGCGGGCGCTTGAGGCTCGGGAAGATTCCATGTGGGAGATCACGCCCGTGGAACGCCCCGGCACCGGAGAGGGTAGTGTCGTCGATGCGGATGAGGGGTTGGGCACCCTGGACGAGGTCAAGCTGAGGCGCCTGAAGCCCGCTTTTGCTGAGGGCGGCACCATCACGGCCGGCAACGCGTCGCAGATCTCCGACGGCGCGGCGGCAGTGGTGCTGGCGTCTCAATCCAGGGCCGAGGAGATGGGTGCGGCGGTGCTCGCCCGCGTCTTGAGCGTGGCGGACGCGGCCCAGGAGCCCAAGTGGTTCACGACGACCCCCGCGCTGGCCGTGGCGAAAGTCGTCGAGCGGGGCGGGCTCACAATGGCCGACGTTGATTACTTTGAGATCAACGAGGCGTTCGCGGTTGTGGAGCTGGTGAACAGGGGCATCCTGGGACTGGACTCGGAGCGGACCTTCCGGGGGGCGCATGGCCGTGAACTTATGCGGAGGAGGGGCGGCAGGTTCGGAGTTGCGGCGATCTGTAACGGCGGGGGTGGCGCGTCGGCTGTGCTTGTGGAGAGGGTGGAGACGGCGGGGGGTTGAGACTTGTTCCACGCCAAGGGAAGAGCAGGGTCGTGAAAAGGGCGCTCCATCCTAGGCCATTGAACGTGAGACTCTTTTCCAAGGTGTGAAAGTTTATGTACAGTTTCCCAGGGCGAGAGAACGGGCACACAACACAAGCAACACAAAAATGTCAAGAAACATGTGCGCAGGGGGACCGACAGCGAGGGGTGAAGTCCGACGGGCGACGTCCCAAAGAGTGGCAAATTGCGGCACAAGGGCAGCTCTGTGGCCCAGGAACAAAAACAGGATTCGGGTGAGGGAGCAGTGGTGCCTTGGGCAAGCACCGCATCGCTGTCGATTCAGTCTCGCAGCGAACGGTGTTCGGTAGGGGATCGGAAGACTCGCAAGCATATAGGCTTAGCAAGTGGACCTGGTGGTAACACCATGTTTGCGTTAGAATTATTGACAAGGCAGAACGTAAGCGCGGATAAGGTTGTCTTTGGGCTTAGGTGCGATCCCCGGAGGCCGGGTGTCCGCATCCCAGCCCCCCATGTTCTCCGCCTCAAGGCGATCGATCGCGGCGCACCGCGGCTCTGCCCGCCTGACCCGCGATCGGTGCATCCGCCGCCAGCGTCCATTGCGACCCACGGCTCCGCCAACCCCGCCCAGATTGGCTCCCATGATTCACGAGCTGCTGGTTGTGTGCGATGGGGGCACTCCGCGATGCCAAGGGCGCTTCCGGGCGCTGGCAAAGGGCGTCGGAGCCGAACACCGGCAGCAGGGGCGGGCCTCCACCTTCGACTGGGTGGGTTCGGCGGTTGCAAGCTCCAACTTGGAACCCTTTTGTGCGCCCCCTGTGCGCATTGTTTGCCGCGAAAGGGGACTCCCACGGCGCCAAGCGATGAACACCTTCCCGGGATTCGCTTTCTCGCACCATCAACGTGGGGCAGCAAGATGGGCGTACAGTACAGCACTTGGTCCGGAGTACATTACGCTGCGGCCGCTCTGATTGGGGCCCAAAGCGGGCCCTGCCTCCTTCCCAAGTCGGCTCCCCCAACTACGTATCTGTCCCGCTCGGAACCCTGTGCGCCCACGACTGGGGTGCCCAGCGCGCGCACCTGCACCGCAGGGACAGCGCCGCCCTCCAAACAGCCGAGGCAGACATTTCCCAAACCGCCTTGTTGCCTCCAGAGCGGGGTGCATCGCGCGGAGGCCTTGGGACAGGGAGCACACATTTCCAGGGCACTTCTCGCTGGGCGGCCCGCCGCCGCAGCCTCCGATCGGAGCGTCGGGCGATCGGCAATCTCGGCGGACCCAGTCCCGCTCAGGCCCGCCGATCGCTGTTGATGGGCTCCCTGGACAAACTGCTCGCCTCTTGACAATCGGCGCAGGGAGTTGGGTCCACTGATTTCGGCGGCGGTGGGCGCGTGCCGTCCGGATCAGGCAGAGTCGGGTCGGCAGCCTGGATAAACGCGGAGAAGTGGTGTTCAAAAGGTGGCGCTGGCGCTTGGCGGGAGCCGGTGGAGAGCCGGGGCGGAGCGATCGGCGGGGAGATGCCAGAGGGCGAGAATGTGGCGGAGATCGCGGCATTGGCCGAGATCGGGGCATTGGGCTGGCGCCTGTGGTATTCCTGTCGCGTTGGCGTGCCCCAGCTTGGTCTTGGGTGCGCGGGCGGACGCCGTGGTGAAGTAATGCCGTATGCCTGTCTGCTGAAGTTTTGTGGTGGTTTTGACGGCCCGGTGTGGTTGCTATTTAGAGCTACATGAACTACAGTCCTCGGCTGAACCCCCGCGATCTATTACTCGAACAACGCCGCTCTTTGGCCGGGTTGTCGCGGACGCCAGAAACTATCGAGCCCCAATACCTCAAGGTTTGGCTCCAGCTTTGAGTGGGCTCTTGCACAACATCTGCACGAGAACACCCAGGCCAGATTGTCACACGCTGTCTTCTTTCTGCTCCCATTACGGTTTCGTTCCTTGCCCTGCAAAAGCGCGGGGGGAGGGGGCGGCGCTCACACCTCTGATATTTCAGCCAACGAAGTCCACTGGGATTTAATGCAGCATCTTTGTCACTATCTTCTGCCCGCAACCATATTTGTGATCCTTGCTGTGGCAAGTACTTCCTGTTAGAATTGAGTGGTCCCTGAGTCTGTAAAGGTGCTGCTGTATCTGACAATGAGAACACAAAGAAAGTGTTGGTGTTGTCTCTGTTGGTGTTGGTTGGGCACCTTTCTTGCAACCAAATGTGGCACACCCCTTTGCTCTCAGGCATGGACTCCCTCCCATCCTGCTCTCTGCACGACTGGGCTCATGATGCGTAACATAGGCATGTACAATGCTGGGACATACACGCAATAGGACGTGCGCATGAGAGCAATGCGAACGTAATCAACCCAAAAGGTAGTGGTGGGAAGCCTTAGAAAAGTTGAGGGACCATCAGGCGAGTGTTACCTGGGATAATAAGCCATAGTGCAAACAAGCATCAAGCTGGGACTTTGGGTCGATGGATGACAGTGCATCAGTACAACGGGTATAAAATCAACTCAAAGAGTAGCTATGTGGAGCTTAGAACAGCTGAAGCAAAGGAACAAGGGGCCATGAAGCACAATCTTCCTGGGTTGTGATTAGTCTGGGATTCAAAAGATCCACACTTTGTGTACTAATCGTTGCCGTGGCTGCGAATGTCCACCACAGCTGTCGCTGAATAGCAGCTGTTTCACACTGGATTGCCATATTACTGCGTGATGTTGCCTTGGCTCACCAATTTGGATTGTGCATCCTGCCTACCAGTGGAAAAGCCGACTGCTCATTAACATGTCTTGGCATTGAGGAGTTTGATTGATTTGACTCAAATCTTTTAAGCTCACAGGATTTTGTTTGCTGCCCTGGTTCTTGCCACACTCATCAGCACCTGGCCCAGACATTTGTTTTTTTGTTGGTACCCCCTCCCACATGTGCTGGTTGCACTGTTCCAGGCCTACTATCGAAGGGGAGATGCAAACTTTGCCATGGGCAAGTTCAAGGAGGCGCTCAAGGACTTGAAGAAGGTAGGCACAGCAGGGGTACACCGTGCTGCGGCTTGATGCACAAGGCCTCTCCTGTGTTGCAGGCCTGAGCATGAATGACGTTTGGAACCTTTGGACCAGGCTGATTTTCTGTGTATCCCACCGTGAGGCATGAACATAACCTGTGTCAAGTCTTTTAGACAGTCTTCACACTAAGCACCATTCTGAATTCTCCTTTTCCACCTGGATGGTACAACAATATTGGACATCCCAACATTGTTACGTGTGGCAACTCAACAAAGCTCCCTTGATGCACTTCGCCTGTGTTTTTGCTCCCTAGGCTGCTGAAGTTGCACCTAAAGATCCTGATCTGAGGAAGAAATTGTCGGAATGCGCAAAGGCAGTGAAGCGGATCAGGTTTGAGGAGGCAGTTGCTGTCGAGGTGTGCATGATCTCTCCCGACTGTACCTCGCTGCATAAATGCTCAGCTATAGGAATTGCTGAGATATGTACTTAGATGTGCAACAGCAGTCACCATCTTGCTGTGTGTTGTGTTCCCACTGCATTATTGGACTTGTCTCATTGATTTTTTGTACGAGCAGGAAGCGCCGCAGTGTTTCGATGACTGAATTTGGTTGATGAATGGACAGACACTTTTGTTCTCCTGCGTTAGGGGCTGGTCCAGATGCTTCAGAGTATGTGCTGATTCAGTGCGGAACTTTGCTGCCTTGTGAGCGTTTTACTTAGATGTGGCAGCAACCAGCAAATTGGTTCTCATGTCTGACATTGTTCACGTGTTGTTCATAATTTACAGCATGATCAGGAGCCACCAAAGTCAGAGACGATACAGCTAGAGACGATCACAGTGGAAGATTCTTATCAAGGCCCAAAGATGCAAAGTGAGTGATCCAACCACTGGCTGCTATTGTGTATTTGCTTGAGTGTAAATGAAGGGGTGGGCCTGGGTGCGGCTGAGAGAAATGTTGAGGCAGAAGTAGCATGCGTGTCGGTGACAATGTGACTGGGACCTGTGGCCTGAATGCAAAGATACACAGTCAGGCAGGGCGCAAAACCCGGCCACCTATCACCGAGTTCAGGGTGCTATGCTAGCTTCAATTGTGCTGCAGTGTGCTTTTGGACCCCCAAAACTGGCAAATAAGATTCGCGAGGGAGTCAAGTCCACAGAATGCTGTGAATGAGCCAAATATGACTTGGATGTTTAGCTGCTATCTCTGTCCCAAAAGTATTGTCGCTTCCCTAATTCGAGCAAACGAAGCACAAAACATGCGAGTCAGAAAAGTTGACCAGAACAACTTCAACGCGTCTTACTCAGAGCTATCCACGTAGTTCTCAAGCGTAGCAAATGGCGCCACCGTTCTTGAGATACGTGAGGAGGGGCTGAAATGCAATTTTGCATTTTGCCGGCACCTCGGGAGGAGCATGGCATTCTCGTCTTGCTCTTCAAAGGAGGTTGTTCGAGCTGGGTTATCTCTAGGAAAGATGATTGAACTGGCAGTTGGGTATGCATTGAAGATTCGGCTAAATTCAAAGCAGAATATGCAGAGCAAATGATGCGGGGTTGCTGCAGAGTTTGGGGTGTCAACGAGGACTGTGTGGGTATTGTCAAATGGCAAATTACATGCATGCAGGGCTAAAGTCCCCCTTTTCCTCACACAAAACGGGAGCTATAGGGGGAGCCCTGGGACAGCACGGGAAGGGTTCACCGTTCAGCTGTGTGGGTATTGTGGCCAAAGGCCAAGAGACACCTAGACCAGTGCAGAGCAATGATGTAGCTGACATGCCAAGCTTAGACCATGCATTCTGACGCTCACTCCAAAACGGGCTAGATTGGTGCCAACATGGCCAATCGTTCAAATTGAGAATTTTGAAGACATGAGCCAAGCATGGCGGAAGAGATGGTCCATAAAGTGTATGATTGCAGTGATGCGGAAAGTCTTAAAAAGTTGTAGTAATGCGTATTTATTGCCTACAACAAGGCTCTTGAACAATGTCGTGGAAATGAGCTGTCACACAT